CCACCCCTCCCCTCCCCACTCCCTTCCGCCTCCCCCCCCCCCCACCCTCCCCCATCTATCCCTCTTACCTCCCCTGCCCACATTCCTCGAGGTAACCTGCATAAATGAATGTCAATATCAAAAAACACCTGCGTGAGAACTTCAGTGAGGTTTCGGAAGCAGAATTTCTAGGCCAGTGGCTGCGCCCAGCATCTGTAGCACACATACACACCTTCAATAGAGTTTGAGATTCTGCAAGTTTTTTCTTTGAATTTTCAGGCATACTTCAGACCAGCAAATCCGATTCCTGTATGCGACACAAGTTTTTGCACGGAGAAAAAATGACATTCTTGAACTACAAAAGAAGTTTTCGACTAAGCTTACTTCCTACCTCTTCCACAGTTTTTTTCCGAGGAAAAAACCGCTTTAGCGCCGTCCAGAACGACGTCAAAAACGTGCATGAGCACGGTAGTTTGAATTCGTAACTAAGGCCAGGAAAAGACTGAGAGCTTGGAAAGCACGGGTTGTGTAGCATGGTGCCCGGGCTATCCATAGAAACAGTTTCAGCACTTGAGGAGCAGTAAGCTCGAAAAAATTTAGATGCGATCCTAAAAAGCAAAAACTGGGATTTTTGAGCTTAGAATTTTGTAACTTACCAGAGAAGTTATAAACAGCCTGCAATTTTTATGAGGGAAAGTAGGAGGATGGCCTCATATTACAGCAAAATTGCAGCCAACAGGCTCCGATAGCTCCGAAGAAATTCAGATGAGGCGCAGATACGACCCCCTTTTCTCATTTTTTGCTACCATACATGAAATCATAAGAAAATCCACAGTCAACAAAACGGCACCAAATTTTGCACTGATATAGCAGAGCATCTCCAAAGTACAGATAAATCATATGGGTCTGTGAAAAACATTACAAAAAGATTTAGAAATTCATGATGGTCACAGCTGGTAAAGATATTCGCTTTTGTTGAGTGTGTGAGACTTCAGGAAGGCTTCAGAAGCAAGATTTTTAGGGCAATCGGTACACTTAGCATTTTTATCAGCCCATACATCCTTCAAAAGTGTTTTGAGCTCTTGTAAATGTTTTTCGTTGAGAATTTTTACAGATTTTTTATCTGTTTTATTCTGATTTCCACTTTTTTGTAGATTTATTGTAAAAAACATAACTAATTATCTGCTTTTTGATTCCCTTTCAAGCCCAGGGTATTTTAGCCTGACTACCTCCTTTTACGACCCCCCCCCCACCTTAGGTACCCTCTTTATTACCCCCCGTTGCGACAGTTGCATCACAAGCTGACCCTGGTCGTAACCAGCGATCGTGTGCCACACCCCTTGCTTGACCCTGACTACAACCCCAAAATCTGGAGGAAAAAGATGAAATCCAGTCAGGGTCAAGCGTGCTGATGCGATCCGGACCCTCATTTACGACCCCCCCCCCCCTGAAGGTACCCATCCGTACGACTTCCCCCCCCCCTGCCCCCCTCTCCTCCTTCCTCCACTTCCTTTTGCGGTAACCTGCTTGAACGAATGTCAATTTCAAAAGATGCCTGCCAATGGACCTCAATCAAAATTATAGGTCAGAGAAAGATAACTACTTACGATTTGGGAAATAATGCAAGTAATGCTTCACCACTCAAAAAACAAATAATTCTACGTAGATTGGGTAATTAGTAAGATTTTTACAAATTGGCTATGCTTATTATGGGAAGATATGAATGGAAAGGACATCATCTGACAAAGTAGAACATTGATTTTGATTTGAATGGTATTTAAGCTGTATACCTTTAAAAATGAAATAAAATAACAACCAAGAAAAATTCAGCATTACGGAACGGTTCACTTTAGTCATTATAATTGACTATTTCATAATAACTCCTTTTCTAGTGAAGGTAAACTTTTCTGCTGTTTATGAATGTTCGGCATGATGCTTTCATGGTCCAATAGTACCAGGATATAGACGTTTTGGAAATTGGAACGTTTTAGACTTTAATGACAGTCCCGTGTTCTATCCCCGTAGCGAAAATATTTTTTGCGGGGAGAAAAAAACGATATCTTTTGAGCGCAAAAACTGTTTTTTCGACTAAAAAGCTTACTTTCTATCTATTATGCAAATTTTTCTGCAAAAAAAACCGTTTTAGCGCTTTCCAGAACGATGCAAACCTGTATGAACAGGATACTTTGAAAAATTGCAACTAAAGTCAGGGAAAGGCTGAGAGGCTGTAATGAATGGGCTGAGTAGTATTCTGCCCACACTATCCATGGAAAAAGTTTCAGCCATTGAGGAGCAGTGAGCTCGAAAAAATCTAGATGCGACTCTCGCAAATTTAGATGCGATCCTAAAAAGCAAAAACTGGGATTCTTGAGCTTGAAATTTTGTAATTCATTGGAGAAGTTATGAACCCGCCTAAAATTTTTATGATAGAAAGTAGAATGACGGCCTCATAATACAGCAGAATTGCAGCGAGCAGGCCTGCATAGCGGTAAAAAAATTTAGATGCGACCCAGATACGACCCCCTTTTTCAATTTTTGTTGCCACATAAAATTTAAAAAAAAATCCACAGGCTATCATGACTTATAATAACGGGCTAAGGGTGTTTACGTGACTTTGTATGTGTGTGTGTGTCCGTCTGTCTGTAACGAAATTTATAGAACGCGTTCCAGCCAGCCTTATGGGCTCAAATTTTGCACAGTGCATGCTATCCGCACGAAAATCCAACATGCAAAAGCACGAGCAGATTCGTTTAGTGGATCCCTCAGAAACTGCGAGTCAAACGGATCCACTTTGCATTTGAGCCGCAAAATTGGGTCCGTAATTCCACTTTTGGAGAGTCGTGAATGTTTATGCCAAGTAAATGTGCGAACCGTTAACTTAGGCCCAAAATAGTGATCAAATGTCCGTTACTTTACAAATACGGAGCCAAAAAGTATTGGTTGCTTAAATGGTCAATTTGCCAAGGTTTTACCAAAGCTTTTGACGAGATCTTTGCACAAAGATGTAGCTCATGGTGACTGCTGTTCTTACTGCAACTGTCAAGACTACGGAAAAATCAAAAACCTATAAAAATTTGCGTTTGTTTCCCTGCAAAAAGTCTCATCCATGCGAAATCACCGATTTCACATAAAAAAGCTTTCGGAATGAGTAGTTGTTTACATTTTGTTCGTGGTAGTCGGCATTGCTCGCTGAGTTCCAATGCCATCATTGTGCGAGAATGAGTAGGGCCTAGATAGTGGAGCCAGCGCGAGCCTCTGCGAAGCAGAGGTGACGCACTGGTGAAATATAACCAGATTCTGCATATTTGTAGCAGAGAATCTCCAAAGTACAGGTAAATTGTATGGGCCCTTAAAAGAGTAACAAAAAAGTTTTAAAAATTATCAATGGTCATCACTGGTAGAGATGAGCGCTTTTGTCAAGAGTGTGAGACTTCAGTGATGTTTCGGAACCAGGATTTCTAGGCCAATTGGTACAACATTCTTGTCACTCATACATGTCTAATGTTTGAGCTTCTGAAAGTGTTTTTGGAATCTTCGGTCATAATTGTGGCCAGCAAGTTCGATCCCCGTCTGGAACACCTTTTTTGCAGGGAGAAAAATGCTGTTTTTTGAAAAGCAGAGAATGTTTGCGACTAAGAAGCTTATTTCCTACATTCCACACTTTTTGCTTCGGACCACCCTCTCTTACGACCCCCCCCCCCCCACCGCCGTGCCCCCTTTACGACCCCCGGTTGCGACAGTCGCATCACACGCTTGACCCTGCTTCCAATGCTGAAACACTAATAATCAAACCTTCTCAAATTTTGAGATGAAATTTACAGTTGTGCACGTCTTATATCGCAAATTTCCATTTTAGTCTTGAAAGGGTGATTAGCGAAGTCGCAAGTTTGGCTGGTGTAGAGTGTCATCTAGCAGACAATAGCATGATGGTATATCTACCTTGGAACTGACCTTCAGGGCAACAACACAGATAGAAGTTTTGGGCGTGTACACCATATTCAGAATTCACCATAAGCGGTAAGCAAACTCAATACTGTTTACTTATTAAGAATAAGTAGCTGCTATTTCGCATACAGTCGCTTCATTTCATATGATCATGTGTGATTGCACACACAGTCCACTGTGGCGTCCTCATCCTGGATTTGCAATCGCAAAAACGCAAGAGACTTACCGATTGTTATCGATTACATCAATTTGAGGTGACTAGTAACTAAAAAGGAAAGAAAATGCTAAGAACACCTTGGAAACACTTACCTGAAGGCTTGTTTTTCCCAAGAATCCAGGATGGGGACGCCAAAGGTGAACTGTGTGTGCCATGACACACATGGTCATATGAAATGAAGCGACTGTACTTAGATTAAATTAAGGGTGTGGTTGGGTAACGGAAAAACAGTGAAATGAGTGCGTTTGCGTAATAGACTTTTGAGAGCAACATATCGACTATCGAGGCTATCAAACTGAGCATAATCGCAGTTATCCACACATCAAAACAGTCAAATAAATTCCTTCACGTGAATATAATCTTAACTCTGAACATTATGTTCCCTAAATTTTCAATTGTCGCGTATCAATTTGATGATACAAATTACTGAGATTAGTCTTTGACATCGGCGGTGATCAAACTTACGGTAGCTGTTAACTGCATAGAAATGCAAAACGCGAGTACTACAGTTCGCACGGACAGATCAGAAATTAATCGAAAGACCAGAGCTGATGGAAACGCTCAACAGTTTGTACTAAGGATGTTTTGCACGAAGCAGAGTAGCGATAAAGCGCCTAAGAACGGGTAGCACTGAAAACATAGTGGAAAATCTGAAAAGAGGCATATGACCCGATGCCACCAGCCAAAGCCAGGAAGAGTGCGCTGCTATGATGTACGTCTAAGAGGAGACTCAGGGGCGCTAATGGGTGGTAGATGGCGCCAGCTCTTCAGGATGGCGCCTCTTTGGGGGCAGCCGCGTTGCTATCTCCACAACGATGAGCTGATAGCGTTGTCAACTGCCTCGACGGCCAGCCGTATTCTGTCGCCCTGCACCAACAATTCACTTCGATTATTCATTACACACACCAATGACAGCCTTTACGTGTCATTGATCTACTAGAACTCCATCTCACGCCCCTTTTCGGACTATGACAGACACTGGACTTTGCAAAGTGTATGAGCGCCTTTTGTTCGTTGTTCAGAGTAGGCGGTACTCGGATTCGCTACAGCAGACGACCCGCTGTAAGCGACCGCAGCGAGCGACAATGCCCTCCTATTTGGCCAATGCCTTTAGACTACGAACGATCTCACTTCTCATAGTGGCGTTCACAGTGTCGACAGCGAGTTGTAGGCCAATGGACGAAACGCCGTCAGAGGATGAGCCTCTCTCCGTTGCTGACGGCTATATTCACTACTCCATCGCAAATGATTCAAAATTGCGAGAAATCTCGAGAAAGGCGTTTGAATCGCTAGTTAGCGAACCGATTGTCAAACAAGACTACTCCTCCCAGGAAATCATATTTCGGCCGCATTCTCAAATCGATGAGAATTCTGACCTGAATTTGAAAAAGCATAAAAAGCCAGGTACATTTTTTGCTTTCGTGTTTTTATTTGATTCTGTGTCAAAGTTATAACATTACTATTTGAAAAATGCAGTGAAGCTTTTTGGTATTGTATTTTGTGTACACTAGAGCAAAATTCATTCAGTACAGGTAAGTTTTCAAATTACGTTAGACTAAACACTTTCAACTTTTTCTAAGGCCATCTTTTAACGTTGAAGGATGTTTACTGTCGCTTCAGATTGACAGTTCTTCATCGGCGACAGTGTGAGAAGTTGACATTTGGTAGCAAGGCATAAAAAATGCTACCTACTGGCTGTAGAGAGTCATTGCATAGGCCACAAGCGTGCAAATTGTTTTATAGCGTTTCCAAAAGTATGTTGCAAGTTTATCTAGAACATTGTTCGAGTTTTTTGGACAGTTTGTGGTTTGGAACCTGACTTGGTTGCCTTCTTGGGGTTGCGTTGACTGTATTTACTTCTGACTGTGTGATTGAATAGATGAAATCAAGTGTGAGCCCATCAAAAATGTGTTTTCATGGTAGCGAAAGTTTTCAGTGTGAAATTGTAGAGCATACCCAACAAGGCCAGCTTTCAATGCTTGAATGCTCGGCCAATGACTTTATAATAATACGCACAACTTGTTATGAAGGAGAACGATGTAATTTGAGAGAAAGGGAGAGAAGCGTGACTTTAACACCACACCTTATAGTAACGGAAAAACAAATGTTCTTACAATCAAATATACCGCCAAAATACAAATTAAAACCAGTGATTTATAAGTCAGCATTAGCGCGCCGACCATTAAGAAATCTATCGAAAGGAGGAGCATTTTGCGTTTTCGCTTTTTTTATCTTCCGCATTCAGACCAAAGCACGTAACATTTCTGCTCCATCAATTACGTAACCATGGCCTAAGCTCTTGGGTTACAATCTCCTATAGCATGCTATGAAGCTTGTATGAATTTTTTGCTTGCCTGTCATAACATCCTTATATCAGTATCCAATGTGCACTGAGGCTGCGTTTGAAGAGATTAAGGCTGAGTTCATACTGATCCCAAAGGGGAACATTTCCAGCACAGCGCTCGAGCTGAGCGTTGTGCTGTAACTGTTTCCGGAGTTCGGGATCAGTATAAACGCAGCCTGAACTACGAAACATTCAGAAATGTGTGGTGTGTGATTAGCCTGCTCCTTTCTTCAAGACTGAATTTGTGATTCTTTATTCCCATTCTTTTTCCTCTGTCTTTCAACAATATCAAAAAAGGGACTAAAGGTTTGTTGATAAGAAAACTTTAAAATATCAAACGCAATTTTAACGCTCGTGTATCTGCATAATTTGGGTCGAAGAACCATTGATGCAAGGATCAAATGTGAATATAAGTTCTACATTAAGGGGATTACATTTGTTTGACTATTAACCTTTGTAAAAATATAATAAGAGTAAGTCCATTATCTGGTCCTTCTAAAAGTACCTAATATCGACGCATCAACCCTAGTAACCATCCTCATTTTTATCACAATATTGCTCTTTTAAGCATATGTTTACGGATCATCTCCACTTAGATCTTTGCGCTTTGCAAGATAAGGAGATTCTTTGCGGTGTTAAGGCAAGGTTGTGGTTGTTATCAGGAGCACAGCACAAGGACTAAGCGCTGGCATAACTCTCTCTCAAACCTATTCCCGCTCTTTTCTTATTTACTCGACGTTCCATTGCAGCATAAAGCAATTAATGAAGTTGAACCTGCACAAACTGCTTAAAACGCGTGCCCCTTTTCAGGAAGGCGAAAACCGTTATTTGATGGACGCAATCAAGCTCTCATCACCATAAAAGATACGAGGGAGATGCAGAAATGTGAGGGCGCCAAATTCAAGCAGCGTGTGAAAGCTCCTGGCTGTCTTACAAAAGTCATCGTAAACAGGTACGTTAGAGCGTTCAAAAGTTATTAGTGACATGCACCATCCAGTGACCAAAATGAACGGAATTCTTCAAGTAAGTTTTGTGTCGTGCCATTCACACTTGATCACTCATTCGTGAGCCACATTGCTTATGCCACCTAAATAACTGCATGGAAAGTCAGGATTGACTCGCAGTGCAATTTTTATTTTTATAAATAAGGCACTTCATACTCTCACATTCTTATGAGACAAGTACAGTCTACAAAGTCGCAGGTGATATTCATACGCAGTAGTAACCCACTTATATGTCCAGTAGGTGGTCTATCTCAATAAATTCACATCCTTTCTACATTTGAAAGATACATTTCGAGAATAATCCAGCTTTTCAGTTTGTTCTGATGCTGTAATTTTGAAGACTGCTAGAAACATGTAGAGAAGCAATGAGTTCCAGCAACGTCTTGTATCCTGCGAATTTTAAGTTCACACCAATTCGTATAGATTTCCTTTTGCAAGGTGAATCCTCAAGGTTTTTGCAATCTCTCCCGGGATTTGCACTGCCGTACTACACATAGTAGGCTGCTGTCAAAGTCCTGTAGCTGTCGATATAATTTGCTGGCATTCCTTTCTCGTCCTATCGGCGACTCTAAAAATGGCTACAGATAAGCAACTCTCGCGTCATTGATTCTTTAAGATTGATCTAGGATACATAAATTCGTTGAGAAGGTGCCAAACAGATACTGCCCTACAAACCTGCATGGTTGTTTTTTTCGTGCAACGTTCTTCAAACGAATTTCGCATATCTCCAGATCTACAGTCTCCTTTCTTCCCAATTCTTCTCTATCGTAGACTTGCTTTCGATCCAGCAACTTCATTATGCTATAGCATTTGAAGATATTTCCTACCGTTTGTTAATACTGACAGAAACACGTGCTTTGAGACTTGCAAGGAAAAGAGTCGCTGCATTATTTGTATAACGCGTGAGGTTAAATTGGATAACGTTCACATATGCTAGTTTACGCTTAGAAGTAGAGCAGTTTTCATGTCATGCTGTATATATTGTCTATGAAACGTTCACTTTGCGGTGGCTGCGCCTGCCTTTTGGCGTACATAGTTTTTGTTAACGTTTATCATTTTGATAACGACATGTATGACTAAACATGAAACACTACAAAAAAGGGTAGATCATGTCCAATAGACAAAGATAATTTTTACTTTGCCAAAAGGTTCACTATGAGTTATAATGATTGTTCAAAGAGGAGAAAACAATACCACATTCATGAGTAATTGCCTAGTCTGCCCTTCTACATGCTTGCGCTTCCGCATAAGAAGCGAATTCTTTTTATATCAATCATTTGCTGGGAATTACACCCCTAAAGGTACACAATCGAGTGATGACGATATTTGCTGAATAGCATTCGATTGTGCTTGGGTATGAGCGCTTGAAAATATTCGGTAAAAGGAAGTCAGATAAAGTTCAAAAAAATCATAATCCAAGCGGTAATTCTGAATAGTTCACCTTGTATTTTCAGATTTTGCCACGGCACTTGCCCTTCCTACTTCATTCCAAGAATGAACGGAAAGATGCTAAAAGCCAGGTTCAAATCTTGTGCCGCATGCGCTCCCAGAGATTACGATGCTATGGATGTGACGTTGGAATGTCCAGGACAAGATCCACCGCAAATCACAAAGACCATCATAAAAGTGAGCTTGTTCGTTCATACGAGATGTAAAGCATAAGATGCAAATTTCAGATAAAAAGGTGCGAATGCATTGACTTGGACTTATCGACTCACTTTCGATTGTAGCATGGGCGTATCTCATTTGAGGACTACCGCAGTACATGCCGAAAAGTCCGACGATGTATACTTTGCTGTCCATTCCACAAGTCGTATTGCGGTGGAACAGCAGTACGAACACGTCAGCATGTTCACGAACGCGCTTTCTCAATTAGAGCAAGAAAGCTTGTACCTGCGTGAAGAACTGCCAAATTTAAGCGAGCGCTAGCGCTATAGCCAAGCTCTGTAGTTGCACCACTCGTGGCCGAGTCGGCCATTCTCGGATGTCAGTGAAGTAGTCCTAGCTCTCTTTCCTTTTAGGCTTTTCTCTCCACTCTCATGATCTCATCTGCCATGTCAGCGACCACGTGACCTTTGCGTCACTTATTCTCCTTCGTTCTCCTCACTACTCTTGCAACGCTGCACGGTCACGGGTCCAGCATTGATGTACTGTATGTCGTAGAACGGTGCTACATTTTTAGTGCTTCTCGTACGATTTTTATCCTAACATGTATACGAGGTTGTCAGAAGTGCAAAATATAATAAAAGTCATGACATCTCTGGTAATGCGCATCAATCACATAAAGGTGATGATTGAGGAAAGGCAATGGAAGGTTCTCTTTCCTGAAAAAAAAGCGGCGCCACATAAATCAAACTAAATCCTTCTGCGGTTGAACATCACAAACGACGTAATGAGCCGTTGTCTGGCAAATGATCAATGACAAATCACAAATGTTGACACCTTGAGGAAACAGGAAAGTTTCCCAACCGCCGTCACAATTCAAACAATTACAAAAGAACGGGATAACGGTCATACTTGGCAAAGGAGAGAGGAGAATTGGATTTCACAAGCTGACGCGCTGATCCACTATCCATTTATTTCCTTGAGGACCTCTCCATAGCGAGATAGTGAGGAAATTACCAATTGCAAGGAATCTGCAAAGAGATTTGTTGTACGGTTTGTGTTCAACAACGCTCATATAACAGATCATTTTGCAAGATTAAGAGTAATGTTATTTTACTCGCAATTAATGCCATGGGTTGTTTCATACTGCAGTCGCTGCGGCACTGGCCGTCGATCTATCGATATCTTTTGCCCGCCCCAATCTGACTGCAGTTGCTGCAGCGACTGCAGTATGAAACAACCCTATGAATGTATCGCAATAAAAGCTAGAAAGATTGAGGAAGAGCGCATCTGGGAAGAAATCCTTCAAATTCAGTAACTTCAAAACAAATGATTTTGCGACTGCTTTTTACTTTCATAGGTAAGTTCTTTGTTTGAGCAGGCAGAGTGATAGCTCATTAGAAATCAGCATAAGTTGGTCTCTCATCTTTTCTTCCCAAATTGCTAATGAGAAGCAATCACTCAAGGGTGGCCACTAATTGTTTAGCAAAGCATTGCTTTATACTATGTTTCGTGAATGTCATGAGTTTTTGAAATTCGAGTTCAGTCAAACTTGTCCCATCAAATACACCTTTGTAGAGAAATTTCTTCTATTTAACTTTTCCTTCTTTCTTTTTTCCAACGCTAAACCGTCAGTAGCTGTTCTTCGCTAAAGGAAATTGTTTTATAGATATAGCCTTTCCATTAAATCCTATTCATTCTCAGACAAATGACCGGAACTTCCGCAGAGCGCTTGCGGAAGTTCCGCCGGGTCATCTGCGAAAGTTCCGTAAACGTGCCGCGGAAGTCCCGAAATGAGGTCCTCCGGAAGTTCCGAAGAATGCCAACCACAGCAGCAAAAGACAACACTGAAGCAAAATTTGAACCTCACTCTATTGACTGTGAGACCCACCTACTATCCTCTACGCTACAGCTGACATGTTCTATAATGCACTCTAGTTGTTGGCGAGGCAACATCACGAGACAACACATTCAAAGTCCTGCGGAAGTTCTGGCAGGCTAAAGTGCTGCGGGACTTCTGACATTTTCGGAATTTCCGCAGAATTTTGAAGAAGGCTCTGCGGTTCCGGTTTTCAGCCAGTTTGGCATGAAAAACCGCAAAAGTTCCGATTTTCAACGTTTTCATTTTTGTAATAGTGAACAAAATCCTGCGGCTTCTGCAAATTTGGCTTGTCCTGGAAGTTCCGGTGATTTGTTTGAGTTGTTGTAGAGCTTCGTATGCTGATTACAAATTTGTTTTCAATATCTGCTGAGCGCCTTTGGACACCAATTATGAGCGTTTTTCGCGCTATAAATGGAATCCGCAACAAGAATAAAGTGATCAAAATGTCCAAATCGTCCAGTATACGGGCATTCTGACTGATGGATTCCTCTTGAATATAGTTATACTCAAGGCTGCTCTTTGCTGAGCGCTGAAGCACCCGAGTTGATATCACCTGATTTCTGCTTGCATTTTTTTGCTCCAAAAACACTCATAACTTGGCGAACAGAGGCACTCGACAGATATTGAAGGCAGACTCGGAGCCGCATTCGGAATTCGGAAGGATTTCGGAAAGAATTCAAACTTTTTCATGGTCTAGACTTCACCTGGAAAGCATTCCAACTAAAAAGACTTTTCTTATAAGTTTTATCTTTTTTTACTGGCAGGCTCTTTTGCGTCGAGTCGTTGTCACTTTTTCTTAACGGGGATATCCTTCAGTGGAAGTGGCCATTCGAAATGAGATAAATGTTGCTATGCTCAGTGATGAATACTGATCTCAAAGCTGCAATTTTTATATGCGGAACGGCGCAGCAACAACGCAAAAATCCTCCTGTATAAAGATTTGAAATACATCCTATGTGCACTAAACTACAATATCGCTCGTATTTTGAAAAAAAAAACGACGCACAGTCGCCTTCATGTGTCACTCACCGTAGTGTGGCCATATCTCCTCAGAATGGACGAATTCTGCGTCTAAAGCTACCATTCGACTCAGCTCGGCGCGGCGCATCTTCTGATGTATAGAAGTGGACTTGGACATAGTAGGAGGTCAGATTCCACGAATCATTTCAGATGCAGGTTGCCTAGTAGGTGCAATGAATAAGCATACTGAGTATCGACCATAAGCAAAAGTCTGAAACGATTCGTGGAATTCGGCCTCTCAATTCATCCAGCGGGCTCTTCTATATATCAGAAGATACGCCGCGCCGAGCTGGATCGAATAGTGCCCTTGGATTAAGAATTCGTCAACTCTGAAGCGAATTATGGCCAAGCTGCGTTAATGTCATGTGAATCGGGCAATTGTGCGTCGTTTTTTTTCAGTAATGCGAGCGGTATGGTCTTGCAATCGCGCTGCACCCTTCTAACATGTCAATGCGTACCTACAGTGCTTTACACCAAGCGCGTTAGGCCTAAGGCATACCTCGCGCGATTCCTGTCGCTACGCGATTTGGCACAACAGCGACCCTCTGTAATTCGCCGCTAATGCGTTTGCTCTGGTCAGAACTTAATCCATTTGTAACAAGTTACACAAGCTACCCGTCTGTGCATTCGAGAAGCGCGCACGATAAATTTGTAGAAATCTGGCAAATTGCCAAGTCGCGTGAAAGTGGCGACTTGGCAAATCGCGGAGGTATGCCTTAGGCCTTAACGTGGTCAAACTCGTAATTTGAAAAGAATGTTCCGCAGCTCATGACTTCAACAACATGTGTATCATCTCGAATGGCGACTAAAAAGGTAATCCTCGTAGAAAGATGATTGCTTCTTTGAAAGGATTAAACTCGCATTTGGTTTTTTTTTTTGAGAACTTGGAAGACAATGCGCATCACATGAGTGTTGATCGAATATGCGTTGGCCACCTGCAGCTTAAAAATATCTTTCGATGGAAGTATATAAGAAATACAAAAAATATATAAAAAGTATTGAATTGTAGAAGTTCCCGGGCAATTGCGAAATTTTTCTTCAAACTGCTGTAACTTCAAGCAGATTGACCCTTTTCAAAGCTGCAAACTTCGCTGCAAAGGCAATGTTGTCTATAAGTTATGCTCAGTCTGTTGGGTCCTCAGCGCTTCATTTTGGGTCACCAGCATGCGCAGTAAGGAAAAAAGTCGACTTAGAATTCGGCCTTTAGTACAGGAATTTCTCAGGCACGAAGAGAGCTGGAGTGCTCATATCCAGTATATATGTAGAACTCTGCTGGGGCTATTAATGGACTTTGTCAAAATTTTAGAGCATTTTGGAGCACAGCCTGTGAAAAATTCTTCTCGAAAAAAATCAAAAAATCGGCCATTTTGCACCTCAAAATGCCCCAGTTTTTGAGTAAATGAGTTCGAAGTCTTCCCCTTCACACAAAGAATCAAATCTTTGATTGCTGCAAATATTGTTGGGGTAATGTCTTGCACATCTTTTGGGTCCATCACCAGGCGTGACGATCTTTATCAAATCGACGCCGACAGCGAAAACAGGCACGGCCAAAGACAAGGTTGAGAGCTTGTAATTTTTGTGCGCGTATTGTAAATTGTTATTTCAGACCCGGATGTCCTTCCAACCTTATTTCCATCATTATTTTGTGAACTCCTAGATAACTACTTGAATCAGCATCAGCAATGTTGACAATAAGGAATTTGCTTTATTCTAATTTGATTTTTTCATATGTTGTATAACAGATTAGTAAAGCCGGACAAATTTTGCGATATCAGAAAGATAGAAGATCAATAGGCGACTGGTTAGATTATTGTGTTATGAGGCAAGTATGACACCAGAATCTTCCTGCTTTAGAAGTGGATACCGGCTTGGAGGTAGCAGATGAAAGATCTGTTTGAAATCAGATGAGATAAATCATATGCGGCACAATTTTAAACTTCGTATTTGGTGTTCACGGTACTTGCATGTGAAAGGTGAAAATGTAAGATAAACATTACTCATTGTTCACACCGAAATTGCTAGAACATGTCATTTATATCCGAAAAGTAGCGTCGCTGACAACTGATGAAGATTGAGAACACCCAGTCTGGAGTCTGGTGTGACATAGGAAATTTCCAGCGAGAATCCAATGAGTAATACGTTTCCGGAAGTGGACTTTATGATTTATGACTAAAAAAGTAGTGTGATTAAAAAGAACGGTGCGACACGTGCGCAGTGTCACAACGTGCGGGATGAAGAAATGACGTTAAATAAAAGCGATCTTTTTTTCCGCACTGGCGCCAAAGCCAGTCGCGATTCCAGGAAATTTGTCAAGCAACGAATTTACAATCATGGTATTCGAACTTCAGCACATTTTCGACATTCCTATAGCTCAAATGGGAGCAACTTTTGGATTGAACAAAGAGAAAAGATTGTAATTTCAAAATTTTCGGCTTCGCTGCTTAGTATCCGGACTTGGTTACGGGCTTTTGTTCAAGAAAGCGTTCAACGATCAACATACTTATAAACGCAGCGCAAAAATTGCCAGTGGCGTACTGAGGGGGAGGCGCAGGCGAGAATATTGAAATTTACTTACATGGGCGATAAAAAAATTTTTATACTAGATGTTTCAAATTCGTTTTGTAAATAGTAGTTTGGGGTGGCTGCCGCCGCGCCCTTTTTTTTCTAAAATGTCGGGATCAGGGGCTCACAAAAATTTTCGGAGTTCTAGTAACGCCATGCACCTTTCATTGGAAATTTTATTGTTGCCCCCCCCCCCCCCTCCCCGTCATTAATTCTTCGTTCTCCTTATCTAGTATTTGGATATGAAAAATGGATCTTTTTATCGCAATTAAGCTTGCAAAAGAGCATATTTGAAAATATTTTCTTTTCTGCAGCATCTTTCTCGTTCTTTGTTTGCATAAAGATTAGCATGCCACCGTGGCCAAAGCGCATGAAAGCGGAAATTTCGCAACTTGTTCTGCGTAAATTAGCCTGATGGAGGGCTAAATGCAATTAGATCCATTAGTTATGTGCAAAGATGTGAGTCATAGCAATTTGAAAAAAGAGCAGCGGAATCGAGCAAAAAATGAGTACTATTTATTCGACTCCGAAAATAGTCGAATGACGAGTAAATGACGAATCACAGCCACATTGCAGTATTTGACACGAATGCTATTTGGAAAGTGATTTTAAAGAAGAAGTTCGGTCTACGAGATAATTACAACTGCAGCATTATGACAACATAGACATACGATACAGTAGAAACAGCAGCATAGCAGAGTACCTATCAGGACGTAAGTAAGTGTGATCATGACGAATGCAAATCTATAGGCTAACTGATCGCAGTAGCTTGGGTTTCCTTCCTCGTAAACGACCTTGTCGTAAATGCTGTACGTCCAGTACGAGCCCATTATCAGCCTAAAGAGCAGACATCAAGCTCTGACGAGGATTTTCATGATATGAATGTACCATACAAGCCAGAATGTTGCAAAAACTGCCGCAAAGAGCTCACGAAACGCCTCTAGTTTTCCTCTCTTACTTTCCTAAAGTATAGTACAGTCATTCTGTGTGAAAACACTGAACATAATTGCTTGGCTACATCTGTAATATACCACTGCCTGTTAGCCGTAAGTATGTCACAGTTACGGCTCAGGATAGTAAATGAACTACAGAATTGAATGTAGAGATTTGAAGATATACAAATTCGACACCTGATGATCGGGCGCTATTGCCCTCTCCGGCATTCCAAAAAAGACTTGCGCAGTCTGATTTGAAACGTGCGAATTAAATGCTCACCTCTCCGTGATTGAAATCTCAAAAATTTTCAAACTCAAGTTGCCTAAGCCCACAGCAGAGCAGTAAATTTAAAAAAGTTTTTGCTTTGGAATTTTCAGTGTTATAGCAAGTTATTTTATTATTTTGTATTACTTTATTTTTTATTTCATTTGGAATATATCATTTTCAATGCAATTTCATATTTTTGTAGAAACATTCTAAATTCGATTTGCCAGCTTCCATTGGAGGAGTAGCACATCAGAGAAAATGTTTCTTATCATGAATTTTGCATGAGCAACACTTGGGCACACCTTGGTAATGCATCATTTGCGAACAAGGAAAGGGTCCCCAGTCAGTCCAAACAAAGAGATCATCACGCCTTGAAACGCTGATCAAGTTGTTTGTTATTTGCCAAACCATAATGTGGAAGGAGTCATGAGAGTACGAATGTGCGAGTTTGTCAACTATTCTTGCACATTATCACGAGAAGTCTCAAGAACATTTATTGAGGTTTCAATGGATGTGCTTCTTCCCTGTAATTGGGAGTACTCATCATCACTGTAATCACGCACTCTGAGACTGTCTTTTCAAGAACTATATTCCCTGGGGCTCGAATAGTCTTTTATAGATAACTAGCTGTCGTACCCGGCCTTGCCCGGGATAACATCACTTAGGGTTCACTGTCTTTGGATATATGTGACACTCAAAGCAGTAGTGTATCATTGAAGTTTGTTTGCAAAAATAAAAATAAAATGTGTACACTTTTACTCAACAGCATTGTCTCTCTTCTTTTTGAAACATGGAAGACGTGAAAAAACTTGAAGAGCAAGCATTGCGATATAGGTGGAAGAACGTTCGAATAATGTAGCGCCCATTGCTATCCTGAGGATCATTTTTCCTAGTACTTCGCCGCTAATCGGTTATTCTGTTTTAACTCCCGCACTCTACCCTCCTCTCCCGTACTACGACAAAAGTAAGTGCTTCTTTGACTGTCCTTGCTTTAGAGAGCGAATACCTTTATAGTCAAAGCAATAGCCATTCTACCACGTCAAAGATATGTAATCCACAACTTGTGAGCCATTTGAATAACAGATTAATGGGAAAAAAACTCAAGGACTTCAGTCAATTAACAAAATTATGATGTAAGCTTTCAGATTGAGAGTCACGCTCATGCGGCTGGAATTCATGTCGGAGGTTCCAACGCTAGAGTGTGGCACGCAATTTGAGACAGCTTGTAACTTAGCGATTGGCTCACATCTGCATCAAAAAAAGGCTTTGACTTGCGTTAACAACACTACTACCTCGCACCGCAAAAGATGCATCTCGCAGTTTTAGACAGAATATATAGGATCTACATCTGAACGCTTTCGACCTTGCTTTGATGACGAAAGTTCACAATGGATCGTACTGCTCTTGTTTACATAAGTGTAGGAATGGTTCGGCAATAGCTGCTGATAAGCTTCATTCCCTTACTGAGAGTGCAACAAATCAATAAATCGATAGAAGGACCCAGCGAATTTTCAAAAAAAGTAGCCTATCTTTTGCGCCGTGGCTTGTTTATAGAAAAACAAAATTCAGCCTCTTTGGTTCACATACAAAGGAGTCTATAAGCCACAAACATCCTAACAAACACGTTACAGTGTTTGAGTTTTATATATATATAGATTACACATAACTTCTTCCGGATAGTCGTTTGGAGATAATAAACCTACTTGAAATCAGCGCTCCAAGGCGAGATGACACACAGCTTTTTCAAAATGACTAAGTTAAATTCTGACCACTCCTTCATAAGTAAGCACTCACATGCTTTTTTTCTGGAATTTAGGTGCCAAACACTTTCTATGCTGTATTAAACTCAGGGAAACAATGGAAGATTTCGAACAGTTCTTCGCTACATTGCCGCAAGTGGATATCAAATGGATACATTTTGAACCATCCTGACATACGGTGTACAGGGAACTATTCCCATCCCATTTACTGAAGCATTTTAGAATTGTGAGAATAGATTTCACACGCGATATCGGAGGTATGAAAAGGTAAGTGTTACTCTCTGAAGTAGAATTAGTCACTCACCCAGATTGAAAAGAAGATCCCGGCAACGTTTCGAACGAAGCTAGTAGCTCCGGAAACTATCAACCATATAGGTACGTAGCGACTTATTGGGCAAGAGTTTACTTTGATCACACCGACCAAGAACTCGGTGATTGCTATGCAGAGCAATACAGCGAATATCACTATGGCAATAACTGCAACATGATATTTGGCATGTGCAGATCTTGTGCAGAAGTAGCCTACTGGTTCGGGCCAACTCATGCAGGCTTTCTCGTACAAGCTGAGATCGCTCTCTGACTGAAGCTTCTGCTCGTAACGATTCCAAAATACTTGCGAGTACGACGTCAGGAGGGCGCCCTGAACAGCCTTAGCCATGGTTCGGAACACAGCAGCAGCTCTCACTTTCTGGTTCTTCATCATGTCCTTCGGTGGTCGACATCTGCGGGCACCTCGCCCTGCTGCGAAAAGGTTAGAAATGATAGTTACCGAGGAAACTATTCTTATTCTCAGCATAAACAAGTTATCTTCTCTTGCAGTGTAAAAGCAGTCATGGTCGCAGTTGAACGTCAGGTGAACACTCTTCATCCCACTCTACCCCTCCCTTTTCATATAATGCATCGCTTTACCTTACCAGCCTCAACTCCATCTCCTGCTATTCTGAAGAGATAGCAAGTGCAAGGAGAAAGATATTCTGAAACTCTTGAGTAAAATTGCTTCCACTTCTTATAGCAAGTTTTTTTGCTTCATTAATCTACATCAAACTATGATATATCCAATCACCTTCCCTAGTCTACATGTAACTCACAAGGGATTGGTCAGAAGTCGAAGCGGCCAATCCAAACAAGCTGCATACCGTTCGATGCAACATTAATTGCTGATTTCAAATCTGTCTTTCGTATCTGCAGAGCGCCTTTGTAGGCCAAGTTAAGAGCAGTTTTACTGCGAAAAAAAAACCGTATATAAAAATTGCGAAATTAGGCATGTTATTGCTCTTACACCTCTAGGTATGGGTCATATGAACTAACCTAGTTGCATGTTTTGGTCCAACACTGAGCAAAGAATGGCTTTGTACGGCCAAGTTTGCACTTTACACTCACAATTTCTTAGCGAAGTAATGGCCTTCAACTTATAATTTCGTCCACAAAAGCGCTCTGCAGAAGAGGAAAACAGATTTAGAGTCAGCGTTTTTTACTGCATCTAATGGTATGCAGCTTGTGTGGATTGGCCATTTTTACTTCTGACCATTCCCTTGTCAGAACTGGCTATTAATCCCTACCTGCTAAAAATGGATACGTCGAACAGCTCATTGGGTTTTTGTAGCTCGCCTGTTAAAGACACCCTATCTAAAGATGCTCCAATATATGTAGAAAGAAAATTTAGACAAGTGAGGAAGGATGTGCCCTGCATACGCAAGAATCCGTTTCACGTCTTATGGCGGTCTTATGGCGAGGATTTGAAAAGGACCGTTCGAATCTATCGTTCCCGTGTTTATAAGTCTCAAGACAGTAAGCAGAATTTCCATCTCAACCCTCGACCCAGAATTCAATTAGTCGTTATCAACGTAAAGATTTTCCAGTAAGCACCAGGAAAGTAACTCAGCTACCTGAAAACTCAATTTTTGACATTCTTTTTTTTTTGAAGTCACAAGAAACAGAGCGCTGCGATGTCAGCAACCATAAGTGCTGCACAAGGTGCATCGAAGCAATGTCGCAACCCAGTTTAGACGTTGGAGGTAACTCTCGAATCAGCTCTGAATCGGATCGTCGTCGAGGTCGACAGCTACCGAACTCGAAGCTATTGCTCACATCTAGCTCTCAAGTGAGTATATCCGTGATGTTTGACAAGACAATGACTACAATTGCTTCTGGAAGAATCAGATAAACTCTGGAATTTGTTCTTGAAACCGCATGCATTAAAATCCCCACCGGGGAGGGGATCCCAGCTTCAGAAGAAAGCTTCATATCCTAAAGCTCCGGATATCTGGATTTCACGCTGTCTACCTATCTGTAAGTACTCCTACTATCCTTCAATATAAACATATTGAACAGGGGCAAGAAGCTGTACTAGCCTCATTTTGCAGCTTTTTGTTTGATCCCCTGATGATCCCTGGCTGCCACCGTCTTTTTCTTCAAAGTCATTTTTCTTTTTTCAAAGTCAGTAAAAACATTCCAAAGTTGTGCTGTTTAACTAACCCAACAGTGCTAATCATGTTTCTGGTAAAAACAAGTGATGTTTTGAAGTCATGAAATTTGCGATTAACCACAAGTCAAAAGTTGGGGGTTATCGAGAAAATCGATATTCTAAAAACTCACTTTTTTTATCAGCAACATGCTTACCACTGTTGGGTTAGATAATCAGTACAACTCCGGAAGGTTTCGATTAACTTTGAAGGAAGAAAAATTACTTTGAAGAAAAGACGTTCGGCCGCGGGAAACCACCAAGGGATTATACAAAAGCTGAAAATACGACTTGTACAGCTTCTTGCTCCCGTTCAATATGTTCATAGTGAAGGTTGTTAAAAATACTTACGGACAGGTAAACAGCGTGAAATCCAGATATGTGTAGCTTCAGGATATGAAGCTTTCTTCTGAAGCTGCGATCCCCTCCCCTGCGGGGATGTTAATGCATGCGGCCCTTAGTTAGGTATTTCTGACACGATTAGAGCAGAATGATGGCTGTAGTTAGGCAGCGATGGCACGCAAAAATTACAAAATTGAGTGATTTCATACACGGTGCTTTCGATTCAGCGCTCGTATTTCTTGATTCAGTTTTGTTATTGGTAACTCCTTTTCCCATGTTATATTATAGTGCTGTGGATCCATATATGTGGAGAGCGTAAAACGTGGAATAACTTTTAGGGCACTTGAAAGTCGTGAGATGGAGCGACCGCGCCCGACATGCACGCAACTCCCGGCAACCACATTTTCTTAGTCTTAATTTATACTTATGTGATTTTTTTGCTTGCATTATCGTATTCAGACACTGGTGACTGAGCTGAGCGCTGAGGTGATGCCTCTTTGTATGATGTTTTAAGCCCCTGTAGGCGCAAACTCCGCAGTCAAATCCGTCGTCACGATTTCAGAAATGACCTATATCTATTGATGATTGCAGTCGCAGGCCAAGGGTTAGTTTTTACTCAAAGTACATACTTCATTGAAAAATACGTGACACATCACGAGTATATTGAATCTTTGAGACTTCAATCGAGATGCTATGATTGTTAGAGGCCGAGGAACTCTTTTACAAACTTGAAGAAGGTGAGGAATTTGTTCCTTTCTTTCTTGGGTTCTCCCGGGGTAGGTGTAGAAGTATTGACATAAGTCTTCAAGCAGACGGCCATGCACTCATCGAAACCCACCGTTTCGTTATAGATTGAGCAATATTTCAAGCACTAAAAAAGTGATTGGACTAGTCAATTACATCGAACATCACTTAAATGTGGAACCCACGTGATTGTAAGCTGCATTTTCACAAGCCTCATCGTTCTGCGCACTTATACAACTCTTGAACCAGCTAAAGCAACAGGTCTCCTCCTCAGCTGCATTTGCATGCAGTAAAATGAAAATGAGGAAGAATGTGTACAACATACCCTGGAACATTACGAGGTGTAAAGGGGCCAGGCATACATCATGCGATTTCATCGCTTCGCGATATCTTCAAGAAGACAACTGTTACTCGATCATTGCATGGTGAGCATCTTGCATCTCGGCTGTGATGGTTAGCCGCGATTGGTCGCGTCGGAAAACTATCACAACCGAAGTGCAAGATGATCGGCATGCAATCAGCTCGTAACAGTTGTCCTGTTAGGAGAATCGCGAGGTAATGAAATCGCGTAATGTTCGATCAGTCAACTTCCTCAGCGTTCAATAAAACAGCCTCAGTGACAGCTTATATGAGTGCTTAAATTTTATCCTGACTACGTAGGCCGATGTTTCATTCTTTTGATTATAAGCCAGCTCTAACATGGAATAAAAACTAGTGATTGTTGATGTATCCCTGAGCACATCTTTTTGACTCAAGATTAGACTAAGCATAAGGAGACACACAAGAGTTGCTGACCTCTCTTTTGCAAATACGACTGTTAGAGCTACTCAAATGACAACCTCTTCAACGATTACGTGGAGGTTGGCTACAAAAATGAGGCCTTTGAGGCTCGAATGATACATAAGGAAAAATAGCGATGAGAAGAACCTTTAAAGAATAGTTTGAAAAGGACCACTGCTGTGCCCTTTGCTGCCTCGAGTGGGCAAATTTAGGAAGTTGTTTGTTTTCTCAAATTCACCGAACCTGGTTTAAGTACCAGTTCTACATGAAACAGCTGCCGAGTTCAAGTAAGAGCGCGCAAACAGATCAGCAATGGTTAGTCCCCACGACTACTTTCAGATACGCAGAGCCTTTAGATCATAGGAGGTTTGACTAAACTACTGAAACTCTATCGAAATCTCGTACTGTTTTTAACAAATACCAGCTCAGTATATTGTTCAAACAGGAGAGAAAAAGTAAATCATCTATATTTGCTTCTAGGGCACCATCAGGTGGGCAACCACTGCTATTAAATCAAAACTTTGAGTTAGCATAGCAATATATAGGAAAACATACACATGTCGAAGTTCATGTTATTATAAAATAAGTTATGTAGGAGCGGCATTGCGCAGCTGTAACTCCGATAGAAAGTGATCAGCTGCAATAACCAATGAGGGCATCCTACGTGGTGGTGTAAAACTCATCCAGATAGGCATATTTCTAACACTTCCGTGCATTTACTGAATTGCAAAAATAATTTCGTTCCGACATCGAAATTCTGGTAAAATCGTAACTTGTGTCAATGAAGTACTCCCTTTTCCAACGGCGCAAACGCCGCGCCAAAGTTCCGCGCCACATTCGCGATCGTGTGGCTTGAGCACTTGAATTGGCTTCTTCGGTTGGAGATCCGTACGCAGGGCCCACACATTGCGGATGTGTGGTTCTGACGCAAAAGGAAATTCACACAGTTTGTGTTATTTTTGTAAAGAAATAGTTTTCAAGCTTCTGCTCTCATACACCAGCTACACAGCATTCTCTGTTTGCAGTATATGATAGTTCGTACTTCTCACAGACTTTCCAGAGACTCAGTTCTTTAACTTTTCCAATGAGTCGGTTACTTCAGATGCTGTGCCGCAAATAATTTTTAAGGTAGTGCAGCGCACTACCTTAAAAATTATTTCTCTACCCTTAACACACACTTTCAATATGTTCCTAATGACTGGCGAGGTACCGTTTGCTTGGACGGTATCAGTTGTTACGCCAATTTCAAAAGAAGAGTCTAATTTCATATCGAACCATCGCCCGATTAGCATATTGTCAGCCTCACTGAAGGTTTCGGAGATGTTCATCAAAAAGTACGGATTTAGTGGAATGGATTGAGTATCGAAGTGGGTGCATTGAACGACTGGATAAAATGATTAGGCTCATTTCCAATGAGCAGTACGGCTTTCTCTCAGGCTCGTCCACACACTATTTATAGATAGTACTTATCTACAGAATGAAGCACTAATCCAAGGTAAGAAAGATGATGTGATTTACTTTGACTTCAGTTGGGCTTTCGATAACGTCTGTCATGAAAGCCTTGTTAGATTACATAGTATAGGAATACGGTGGTTTGCTCGAGCGGCATTGTTCTCCTCATAGGGACACGACAGCGCGGCTCTCTCAACACTCTTCTTTTCCTAAAGAATGTTTTTGTGGAAAATCTCAGGGAGGCATTATCTCTCCTATACTTTTCCTGATCAATATGTATGATCTTCCGGCTCTGAAAGCACACACTGAAATATTCATCCACAGCTATGATATAATGTCAAATTCACACAAATCTAGGGAGGATAATAAGCTTGAACTTCAAAACGCTCTTAACAACGCGACTGAAGAAGTTGGACGAATGTTGAACGGAAACGATAGTAACATCCATAAAAGTCGCCTCTTCCAATGGGGATGGATGCTTGATCATATTCTTTATAATGTCTAATACATAACAAAGACCTAGGTACTGTAACAGTCGCACACCATTTGCGCGACAACGGAGTTCTCTAGTGTGTTGAACTGTAGCAATCACATTGATGACATTGTAGCAAAAATTTTGAGAGTGGTGCTTTTCTATTCAGTAATATATACAGTACCGATGTGCTTTTGTGGAACAGGCTTTAGAAATTCACCTTATGTACTTGTGGAATGGTTTTACAAAACATTTAATCTATCCTTCCTTGAGTATCGGTCCCAGCTGGTGTTCAGCCTTATCACCCCTCTAAAGATAGAGCAAAAAAAGCGTACAAAAGACGTTCACTAGAGTACACTACTACTGCGCTTTTCCGAACAAAAGCTATTTTCATATCTCCCTCCCAGTGGCGTACCGAGGAGGGGGCGGGGAGAGGGGAGGCTCGAGAATGGGTCGTGAAATTTTTGGAATCTGATTACGTGGGCTATAAAAATCTGCAAGTGTTTGTACTTGTAAATGATTAAAATAATTTTTTAATTTTTTCCAAAATTCAAATTAACCTTATAAAAAAATTTTCTGGGGGCTACCGCCACCCCACTTTTTTGAAATTTCGGGGTTGTGGGTCCGCAAAATTTTCAGAAAGCATACCAAAAATTTCCTCGGAGTGCATGGATGACTTCATCAGAAAAAACATTTTGTCGCCCCCACCCCAAACAGAAATCTTTGGTACGCCATTGGTCCTTCCATATAATACTCGTCTTTAAAATCTCAACTTGAAAAGTTTCTGCTACAGAAGAGTTCAAATAGATCCCATTTTTGCATTTAGAACTGAAAGAGAACACCGCTCGAAGCCTTTTGGTGTCCGGTCATTTCGTCCTTCTACTCAATATACACTTGTATGGTAACAGCCGAATAGAGAGAATCTGCTTATGCACTCCCATTCCTGAACTGTCAACTTCAAAAAAAGCTTTGTCCAAAATCGATATCCTTCGTATTGCAGATACGGGACGTCAAATGATGGCTCCGCTTTTACTCACCGAGTTCTTGCTCTTCCTTTCTTGAAAATTGTGTCAGTCAGATTTTTTCTCCTATTATTCCTTTCGAACCGTTGAGCATATCTTATTTTTTATTATTTTTTCCTCCGGTGTATGCGTCGGACCTCCGCTTTGCTCATGCTGCTTGTCTACTTCAAATACACCGAAAAGCTAGGCTAGGTTGCCTTATGACTCTTGATTCAAATTGAATACTAAGACTTGGCAGCTTGTCTTTTTAGCTTATTCCTAGTGTCACCCATGCGTTGAAGCATACATGCTCAAAAAACACATTTTACTTGCTTTCGTTTTATTTAGGTACTAAGTTTTTTTAGTTTTTCAAGAAAGCTACATTTTCCGCATGTCCTGCGTAGTATCATGCGCTTTCTCCTCGCTTCTTATAAGCAAGTCGATGGAATAAATAGATAATCTTTACCTGCTACAGCGGATGTACAAACGAGTCGTTTGCTAACTGGATACGCACGAAATTTTTACTCGTTTACAACGATAAAAGTTGTTTGCTGTGGTGACTTTCTATAAATAGAAGCACGAAATTGTGCTCCTAATCCTACATTTTGCCCCTTTTTCCAAAAGAGTCACTCAATCAGAGTATACCTCCTCATGAATTCTCAACGTACTACTCTTTCCAAGAATACCAACGATGGACTAAAATTTGTCCGCAGCATTACCAGGAGCCGTAAAAGCAATCGAAAATGTATATCTTAGAACCTGATAAAGTCTGCTCGAATATCGTTTTACCATGTTTAATTAGCTGTAGTAGTATCTAGTATATCAATAATTCTTACTGTTACATACAAAAGCCGGCATGTTCATATGTCTCGGCCCATTAAGAAACTCGCATTTTCTTCCTCAATTCTAATCGCCAATGTATACAGACTAAATACGCGCGAAGGATAGCGAACAATAGACTGTCATCAAATAACTAAGGGAGCAAAAGCGGTGTGGAAAGTTTCTCCCCAAGATATATCTTGCACCCATGTGTGCTTGCCAGGCTTATTTGGATTTGCTATGATTGCGAGGTTCCAAGATAACATGACAAGCAGTTCCTCCCCGTATTAGGTGTCGCTTCAGATGCTGAAACCGGGATGCAAAGAAAGAAAAAAGATCAGTAGCAAAATTGCTCTAATCAAGAGCAACTTCGAGACTAGGGATTTCCAAGCTTTATTGCGAAGTCAATGTTCAGCACCGATAATGCTCAACCGAAACGTGTACATGGATCTAAGGGGTTTTCAAAGTTTTTTTGGGTCTCGCGATCGCGTTTTGATAACGTCATGACAGTCTTTTGTGCAATATTCGGTGTAGCAGCTCCATCTTGGACTTTTATTGGAGAAAAAAACTGTTTTCCCTGCGAAAGCCTATTACTTTCCTAAACTAATAATGCCAAAGGCGACAGGATGTGCTTCCGTATTGATTTTTTTCCTTGAAAGTTCTCAAAAATACGATGTCGTAACCACTTCCTCCATGCACCACAGGCATGCAGAATGTTATGTGGTATTATAATACCAGTCCAAAGCGCCGCTTCGCGGCGCTTCGGACTGGCTATGTGTGTGTAGTGAGATTGACTGTC